CAAGTGCTTGACAAGTCCCGTAGGATGGTTGAGGTGAATATGATGAAATCAAAATATGTCTGGCTCATCTATCGAACGTCTGCCGAGATGAATATTTTGATAAGTAACATCAGTGTAAAATTAAAATAAATTATCGAGCGTAAACGTTCAGAAAGACACTGGGGTGCAGTGATCATTGAGGTAAGGAGTGAGAAAAGTAAAATATGGTCGCTCACTTAGGTCCATTTGATACATAAATCCTGTTGAAATGCATCCTTGGCGTAATCCACAGTAGGGGAGTTTAGGTAACAAAATGTTGGGAGCTAAGAGCAACATCTAATCGTTTTTTGAAAACATCCAAGGTAGGAGAGGATACAACTGAGTCTGGGAGTGCGTTCCAAGGTTTGCAAACCCGAAGGGAGAAGTAATTGCGTCGACACTCTAGACGGCTGTGTTGTTCCTTCATCTTTAAGCAGTTACCCCTGAGCTGCGTGTTGTGGCTAAGTTTCAGCAAATGTCGGCATACGTGGTTGGGGTCACTCAATATTTGATACGCTAATATGAGATCACCGCGCAGTCTTCGATAGCGCCCGCTGAAAATTCCCAGCAACTTCAGCCTTCGGTGGTAAGAGTGATAGCACAGACCCTGCACATTCTTTGTTGCTCTCCGTTGTGGTGCCTCTATCGCTTCTAGGTCACGCTTCAACCTAGGTTGCAAGCTTGGATAGCGTATTCAACATGCGGGCGCACGTAGGAATTGTGCATCATTGGGAAGATTGATGGGTCAAATCTCCCGAATGCTCTTCGCAGCATGCCGACATGCTGGTTGCCTCTTTTCGCAGCTACCTCAGCCTGTTTTGAACAATTGAGGTCGCTCTGTACGATCACACTCAGGTCACGTTCCTGGGAGCTATTCTGCAGTCCGTTGGTCCCAAGTGAATAGGTGTAGTTATGACTATGGCGTAATTGTACGACGCGACATTTGTCTACATTGAACGGTAGGGCGTTTTGAAGTGACCAGTTCGACACTGTGTTAAAATCGCACTGGAGCCGTTCATGGTCTTCCGGTCCTCTGATCCTTCGCCATATCTTGATATCATCAGCGAAAAATAGGAAATCGGAAGTAATTGATCTCGCTAAATCATTAATGAACACCAAGAATAGACGAGGTCCAAGAACCTAGCCTTGTGGTACTCAGCACGCCACATCGATTGCATTAGACAATGATTCTCGGACTCTCACCACTAGCCGTCGTTCTTGTAGAAAATTGTCAATCCAACCCAGGATTGGGTCGCCAATGCCGTAATTCCGAAGCTCCTGAAGGAGAATGCGATGGTTTAAGCGATCAAATGCTTATGAAAAGTCCAGGTAGATGACATCGACCCCTACTCCATCATCTACAGCTTCAGTCCAGCTATTACGTGCAATTAATAGGTTGGTATTACACGAATGCTTTTGACGAAAGCCATGTTGCTCTGGGGCTATTAAATTGTGGCTTTCCAGGTATTCCATCAGCGCATCTGCGATGATTGATTGTTCAAGTGAAATGAACATCCAACAATGCTTTTAACTGCTGCACTGAGTTTGCTTCATTTGTATGCTCCGGCATGATGCGGTCACCCAATGGAGACTAGCCGAGGCCTGCAGAAAAAGGCGCTACTTGATTCAAACAAACCAACTCGGCATGCAGTTCAGCATACTGCATCCAACGCCTAGGTATACATTGCATTATCGGATTTGGTTAGTTATATCCAAAATAGTCAGGCGAATGGAAAATTGATTGGGAGTTCGCCGTAGCAGCTTCCAAATCAAGTAATCCTACACACGCCCAGAAAAGCACCAGACAGACATTTCGACCTGTTGGGTCTCGATATAAATGCCATACCAATCATCAGCGGGTTCACTTGATCTGACGAATGGGAAACTTCAAAAAAGGACCGTTCCCCGCCAGTCATACTAGCCGATTGTTTCTAAACGCTTTTGAAATCAGGAGTTCCTGATCGGCTCCAACTTCAGGGTCTTAAACTCTACTAAAGCAGATTACTGATTGTCACATTTTATTATGGGCACCATTCCCGATTGGCACAGTCGCAATGCCCTAATCATTTGCCTCCTTCTCTTTATTTAAACCGCTCCACGAATGTTCAGTTTACGTAAGTGATCAACGGCGACACATGAACGGAACCAGTGTGGTTTCCTGTCGTTACATTAAGGCTCAGATGCACAATCTGTCGAAAGAAGATGCCGTGGTGTCCAAGTTAGACGTATGAGGGACAGTGGGTTCTTGGGTAGTGTCCGGTCGACCAAATTATTCGCACGTCAGTTAAAATAACTCGCAAGAGTGGATGCACAATTCTGACATACTTCATTAGTATCTATTAAAAACTCTATCACGAAGTGATGGTTATGTACTCATCTGATAAAGCCACGTAGACAAAACGCCAATTACTGCAACCAAGTTAACACTTTCTTTGGGTCCCTGTAAGGCATAACATTCTATTATTGACTTATTACTCAACGCTAACTGTTGTATCCCAGTACGAACACTAGGCCCCTGCGCAAGTAGTGTCTGGACTCACTACGGCAGAACCCACTAAGGAATGCAGAACAAGGGGCGGACACGCTCTGGACCCTTTCGAAAGGACCTCTGAATAGCAGGCTGCTTTGAAGAAATCGAAAGACGCCTCGTCTCTGCACCAGTGATGGCCATTTTCGATGAAAACTACCCGACGTCCGTCACGACGGATGCGTCAAACATCGGTTTAGAAGCGGTCCTGTAGCAGATGCAGAACGGAGAGGAAAAAGTGATTTCGTATGCCTAGAAAATTATCCCCATACAGGGGTTTCATAATATGCCTGTGAAAGAAAGGCCCTCGCCTGTGTCTGGACCTGTGAAAGATGACACTTACTCCTGTTTGGTCAGAGGTTTACATTACCTACAGATCACGCTGCTATAAATACCGTCCTCGGTCGAGGAACCAATGGTCACAAGCCACTGCGGATTAACCGCTGGTGTGCGCGTTTATTGAACTGTGATTTTCAAGTTACATTCCGCCTTAGCTCCGAAAACCATATGCCAGATAGTTTATCACCTCTTTCATAGGACGATTCCGATAACAATGTGAACGAAGAAAAAGTCATGGTTTCCGCTTTACATCAACGTGAGTTTTCCGCCTCAAGAAGCTAACCAATGTGACTCAAATGTACAAACCGTTTTTCGCCACCTCTCTTAAGGCTGGTCTCACTACACGAAGCTGTGGTGAACAACAGGCGTGTTATCTTTTACGACACGAGTTAGCGGTCATTGATGGTTCTCTTGTGCGCGAATCGAGATTCGTGTCTCCACAGAGACTGTCAAAAATTATCCAGTGTGCACGCAAGGGATATCTGGGTATCGTACGACGAAGCGCCGACTGCAAGAACATTTTTGGTGGCCGAAAATAACTTAAATGGCAGAGGCGTGTGTCCAATCTTACGATGCGTGTCAGAACCTCAACAGTAGCTCTAAGCCGACAGACACACCCATGTAACCTATCGTTTAACAAATGAAAGCTTCGTAGGAGGTAACGACTGACATCATGGGGCTATTCCATTCTGCACACCACCGGCGGAACGGTTTAGTGGCCATATGCTTTTACGGTAAGTGGCCTGAGATTCACCTTTGTGGAGATGTGAACACTACAACCGTTATATGGTGACTGAAGCATCTGTTTGCAAGATTTGGGATTCTCGAAGAAATTGTGACGGACAACGGACCTCTATTCACAAACTGCTAGTTATGACATCTCTTGAAACTTCACTTGAAACACGTACGAGCTGTCTCTTACAATCCAGCTGCCAACGGCATGATGGATCGCAGAAATCGCTCCCTAAAGGAAAGTGTACAGACAGCAGGTTTGTCCGGCATACATTTGGAAGATGATGTAGTCTAGGCTCTGTTTCCCCACAGAACGTCGCACCACAGAGCCACCGATCGCACGGCAGGGGAAATTATGTTCGAAAAGAAGATACGTACGAAGTTTAACGCAGCTATTTCGGCTACGGAAAACAGCGATCCCCACCAACTGGAGCGTGGCTGACGTTATCATTCCTCTTACGAAAGGCAATCCATACCGTTGCGTCCCGGAAGGTTAGTCCGGCTAAAGGAAAGGCAGACATATAAATGGCAGCCAGTATTATCGCACCCCATCAGAAGTACTAGGAACGTATTAGCTTGCGGACGGCCACCGAGTTAATGTCACATAGCCTTATAGAGCCCTTCAACCAAACGCAGTCAATGTCCAGAAGCGAGGTCCAAAGCAGTGGGCCTAGTAGCTCAGTTGGCACTCATGCTGATGCGCTCATTTGGGGAGGGGGTGATGTTGTAACATCTACGGCAACTTCCAGTCATGTTTGTCCCGCCATGCACCACATCCTGCAAATGATTGGATGAGCTGTATCGCTGGATCAATATCAAGGTCATTACGCCTGACACTTTTCTGTATAAAGTGTCCAGAGCGTGTCCACCCCTTGTTCTGCTTCCGTTAGTGGGTTCGGCCGTAGTGCTTCAAGACGCTGCTTGCGCAGGTGCCTAGTGTGCGTATTGGGATACAACACTAACTTATTCACTGTTTCCATCAGACACAGTGCTCTATATTTTATGACAGGCTAAGTGATGACATTTTGGGACGCATTAAAACACAGCTGCAGCGACCGTACATTTGAGATAGAATCTGCCCCCTGAAAAGATGGAAAGTACATCCTAGTGGGAATGAGGTACGGTATAGTAGGATGTATAACCTAATCCCCAAGGCTCTGGTTGTCATTTGTGGCTTAGTAGTATAAACGTGGAATCGAGTCTCAAAAGATCGAATGGAGGTGTATGGTATTGATATGTCAAAATTAGATGCGGTGAACTTTCACCATGTTATGTAATTATATGACTGAGCATCATTGTGATGAACCTACATAAACGTTTCCGTCTAACCACTTGTCCAAACCTTAGTGAATTATTATCTACCCCGGTTTCTCAATCCCATCAGATACAGACGGTTGGCGCTCCGCTACCACCCATGTCTGGCTAAAACAGATGAATTTAAAGAACGCTTTGAAGCAATATCCGAGGCGTATGATGTTCTGTCCGATCCCAAAAGGAGGGCTATATTCGACCAGTTTGGTGAAGAGGGTTTAAAAAACCGTGCCCCCTTTGAGTCCCAATGGACAGAACCTTACGTTTACCATGGAGACCCTCACAAAACGTTCACCAATTTCTTTGGCAGTGACAACCCCTTCTCACGTATGTACCACGCTTTGGAATCAACCATCTACTGTAACCTCATGTAGAATTTCAGGATGAAATGGATTTTCAAGCAAAAAACAATTTCGGTGGTACCATGGGTCGTGGGCAACCCCGTCAAGACCCACCTATTGAGAGGGAAATGTTTCTAACCCTTGAAGAAATCTACAACGGTTGCATCAAGAAAATGAAGGTGTCGAGAAGAGTAAGTGGTATGTACTGGGTGTTAGTGCTTTGCAAACATTGTCATTCGTACTTACAGCAGTATGGCAATAGGATCATAAGTTTATAGTAAACGCCTTCCACAATCACCGTAGTGAGGCTAGGCTTCTTCAGATCGATGATTATTGTGGCCTACGGGTGGCATCAGCGTATCCTAACAACGGGCTGCGTAACTACGTAATAGGTAGCAATGACCAAGTTTGATTGTTAGAATAAGCTACCATTGGCTCAGGCACATGACACTTGTGCTTCATCAGCTGTTGCCAAGATGGGCCTAGTTCTGGCTACCTGATGCTGAATGGCCTAAGATCCTGGGGACGGAGAAAGTGAAATCACTGACCACCTTCCTAGACGCTCCCGCTCCAGTACACCTTACGGGTCGGAGTCCATACGATACCTCTGGGGCTCACTTTAATAAGTCAAATGGCTTTAGGGACTATATTGCTGTTGTCTCTTAGCGGACATTTCTGTTGAAGTTGTGTGTAGAATGGAAGTTCATGAGGCTGTTTAAATACATACGACCTAGGTGGAACAACGGTTTGTAACGGGTTAAATGGCATCTGCTTGGAGGAAATTTTGTAGTGCTTGTTGAGTGATTGTGAAGCGCAGTCTTAAAAAGTAAACGCTTATCAAATCCCTTAGGATGATCACACAGAAAATAACAAGAGGGAAGATTACAGATGTGAACGAAATAAAGCAGTCACTCTTGAGGAGATAGGACAAAGGCATATTAGAATCGGAGCGGTAGAAATGGGATGGTTGGCGGCATCCGGTTTCAGATTTGCCTGTCACTGTGGCCAGCCAGAGGACGCCTGCGCCTACAGAGGGACCATGGGTGGCTTGCGCTGCACCACCCACAGCTCCATCCACACACCCCATATCCAGGGTAAACCCGAAGGAATAAGACCGGGAGGCATGTGGATGGGAGCCACGTTTCATCAACGGAGCAGGCCCACACTCCTTCACAGGCAAACACAAGCACGCTGTATTTGGGAACCAAACGCACACAAAGCAGAAGCTGGACCCCAGTCCACTCAACACTGAGTGCATGGAACCACTATTCGAGCCCAACACGGCCACGAAGACAGTGCACTCCGTCCCCTCCAGCAACGACCAACTGTCTCCTGGAGCCAATATGGACGAGGTAGTGGGTAATAGACAGGTAGGCACCTTGTCAACATGCACATCAAGCGCAGCCACATGGGGGATATCAAGCAGCAACCAATTACTTGAAACGACGATATCAAATAAAATAACTCGAATAATGCATACAGATACAGGGACATAACTTCACTAAGTGAGCATATAAATTAAACGTTACGCATCAAGACGTCAGAAAATATATGTTAAAATATGCCACGAACACGAAAATGCTATCGCAATTATCTACAATTAGCTTAAGTGACGTGTTCTAGTTTATAGAAGATAGTTCAGGTGGACATTGATATGAGACAAAAGAGCTTTAGGAAAATATAGCAAACCTATCACCTGAAATAAAGAGACGCAGCGTGCAAGCACACGGTTAGTAAATCGAATGCGGCGTACCTACAAACGCTTCACCGTTTCTGCCTACGTTCTCTGCAGGAGTTGTTGTCGTTTCGATGTTGACCCCGAGTGACGTCGCTCATGGCTCACTAGGCCTGGCTGACTCAGGCACTCGCGACCGCATGTGCTACAGCACCATGCGCTCGATGTCGATGGAGTGCAATCTATCGGCGCCTGTCGCTTCCGCAATTGCCGCTTCTTCTCTGTATGCATGAGTGCTTTCTCTTGCATCTCGGCAACGGCTTTCGCGATCAGATTGCGCCTTGCAGGCCGATCAACCGCTTTCGATTCCCATGACCTGCAATTAAGATTAGAACGTGAGAAGCGCACTTTGATCATGTCCTGGTAACGAACTCTCGGTTGGCCCACATGCCGCTTCCCAACACTCAGTTGAGCATATAATAGCTACTTCGGTATCCACCCCGAATCCATACGCCACACATGATCGAGCCACCTAAGATGTCTAGAAAAAGTATGCAGTCCACTGCATACATTCCAACTCGACGCAGCACTTTCGTGTCCGCAACACTGTCCCATCAACCGGTGCGCAGAGTCGGTCCCAGACAATACTCTCAGAGCAATTGTTATTGTGCAACTACACCTCTGTCCTAGTTTGCCGTTTGTTGCTGGTTCATGCCCTTGGTCGGCACGTGATTAATCTCATTTGAACTGATGATTATTGCACTTTTACGCCCATTACTATTTCACTCATATGATTGTACGGGTCTGAAGATGAATCATCGAAAACAATTGTTTACCTTCGGTCTTTTGTTCTTGATCATGTATGTTGTGTATTCTGTCAGCATTCTTGACCTAGTCTAAACAGACAGGTGCACATAACCCCAGACACACACAGATAGCACGTGAAAATCGATCGCTTTCCAACGCGTGTGTTTGTACGTTAGATTGGAACTTTCAGCCAACCACATGGTATGTGAGTCTCGATTGGTTTCCACTACGTTTGAGTTTAACGGCTTTCCCGACAGTTGGTTGCAACGGCAGTGTGCAAACAAACATTTTCAATCTATGTCGATTCTGTCTTCTTATTACTAAGCGGGAGTTATAAGAATCTGGCACGGGGATGGTTTACCAACATGTTATCATGCAAAGGTTACGAAAGCAACAGCATCAATTGGATAAACAGCAGAAATTATTTGAATTTCTCGCACGAAATTTCCGAGCACATAAATCAGTGGTACCGGAGGACAGAAGTGATACTCAAATTAAAATTGCATTGGCCAATGGAATTCAAGAATTCAGTTACGACCCAGAAGATGGTAATACCATTTTAGCTGGGTACAAGATATCTGAAGACACTTTTATCGTCCACGGTTCAGCAATTGATGAATCAGCAAAAGTACGGCTGTTGATGCAGAAACTTGGATGTTCTGAACACACAAAATGTTGTAATTACATTCTACCAAAACACCAAGAGATTATAGTTGCAAGAAACCGTGGATAGGCTCACCATAATTTATGCCGGGCGGGCACCTATATGTAAAGTTCGTTATAATTGTTTAAGGCCTACTAGAGCAGAAGACGATGACATTGATACATATGCAAATAAAGTGAACATGGAATGTGAAAAGTTCTACTATAAAAGAATTTCAGATAAAAGCTACAAAATATATTGATATTTGTATCTGGATTAAGATCGCCTGCCGATTCTCGTATCGGAAAATAATTACTAGCAAAACTGGACTCCCGTTGTGAAATTTCCTTTTACGATTTAACCTCGCAATATCTAATGAGGAGGAATCAAATCGTGATTCACAAATTTTATGGTCAAACTGTTATTTAGACATTACTTTTGTTGATAAAATTACCAAATCACACATGGAATAGAACAGAATTCCAGAGTAAAGAGGCTGGTTTCAACGACCACCTACACCATGCTGGAATTGTGGCGACGGGCACTTTGCACGCTTTTGTGAATTTCGATTCCATAAATGTCCAGATTGTGGCACATTAGGTTACAAGGAGGGAACTGTGTCCGTTTGTTCAAGCAGCACCAATCAACCCGATTCAGGAGGCAGTCAAATCTAGTGTCCACTACATACGGTTCTCGTGGGAGGCCTCGCCAAATGTTTATCTCGTTATTAATTAACAACCAACCAGTTCCCTTACAAATTGATCCTGCTTCCGACATAACTATCATTTCATATTCGTGTTGAAAAAGCATTGGCGAACCAGGGTACTGCTCGGAACGATTCTGGCAAGCCAATCGCCTTTTTGGGACAATTAAACTGAGAGTTCACATTTCGAAACGATAAATGCAGTGGAACATGTTACATGGTAGCGGAAAATAAACTAAAGTTATTAGGCTTTGATTTGGTAGATGAGTTAAAATTATTGGACGTTCTAATCATCTCAATTTGTAATACCCAAACTCAGAGCATGCGAAATATGCCTTCAATTGATGTCACAACTGTTGATACAAAAGTGAAAAATGATATTTTGGAAAAGTTGCAGGAACAATATACAAGTGTTTTCAAACCAGAACTTGCAGTGCACGAAAGTTCAAGCTGCTTTGTATATCGCTTCTGAAGCAAAGCCAGTATTCCGTTCTAAAAGGCCTATAGCTTAGCCGTCCAATTGGTTGATGCAAAACTGAATCGCTTGGAGAAATTGGACATGATAACGAAGATTAATTATTCAACATGGGCTACTCTGATTGTGGTAAGTAAGAAGGCGAGTTGCATAGTACCTCTTTGTGGTGAATTTTCAAGTGGACTAAACGTTGCACTTCAGACTCAATAATGCCCATTGTCAATTCCGGATGATTTGTTTGCGCAGTTAAGTGGTGGCAAAATATTTACAAAAAATTAATCTTCCTGTTGCTCATTTACAAGTCGAAGTTGATGAGGAATAAAGACAGCTTCTCACCTTTAATACTCATAAGGCTGCATATTAATACAATAGACTGTCGTTTGGAAGTAGCTGTGCTCCGCCAATTTTTCAACAAGTAATGGACACCATACTAAACGGGTTGCCTTTTGCTATGGCTTACATGGATGACATAGTACTCGCATGCGCTTCAGATGAGCTACATCCGGCACACCTAAATGAAATGTTTGGCAGGATCAGTAGTTTTGGATTTACGCTGAAAATCGACACATATGCGTTCTTCATGTCTCGACTTACGTATCTTGGTTCAATCATTGATGCCAATGGTTGTCATCCTGATCCATCACAAAGTATGACAAGCTAACAACTACAAGTTTAAAAAGGGCAGGAAAATACTTTGGTCTTTTTGGGACTAGTTAGGTATTACCATAACTTTGTCTCTACTATGCACTCGCTAGGGATGCCATGTAATGAACATTTGAAAATAATGCTCGGCATTTGATGAAATTAAGCGCATTATAACTTCTCATCGTTCACTTACACACTATGACCCAAAACTAACTGTCATAGTTGCTGCTGACGCTTCATAGT